AGCCTTGGATATTTTTCAGATTTTGGCATATTTCTTAAAATGGCCGCAACTCGAAAAGTATTTGTCGAAATCAGCTCAAACTTGCTACATAGCATAAAGACATCAATATGTATCAGAAAATGTAATAAAAATTTGTGGTGATTTCAGAGCCATTTTTTGGAAAAAACCATGGGCTATAGACTTGGATATTTTTCAGATTTTGGCATATTTCTTAAAATGGCCATAACTCGAAAAATATTTGTCGAAATTAGTTCAAACTTGCTATAGTCGGTTCAAGTTGAGTTGTCACAGGAAGTAAATCAATTTTTGCATCATCAAAACGTCACTACTAGCCACACCCAAAAATGGTGGTACAGTGCAAGCAGCTCTTTTATTGAGTGTTTCTTCACCTCTAAGACTCTTTGTCATCTGTTTTATCCTTGCTTTGGATACTACTACCTTTAATAATCACTGGCTGGACCTTTTTCTGTTATAAAGTTGACAAAGACCTCGGATACGGAAGATATCAACCTAGATTGAGGATGATGAAGAATAACTAGAACCAAGAAGGCTGTAGACAGATGTAGCAGTATGTTTCCAGTAGCAAGGTCTGCTAGTTGAATACCAGCTTCTCTAGAGGACCTTATCTGTTTGCTTTTATTTTATAAATAAAAAAAACATTAATAGTAATGAAATGCAAATGATATTCAAGAGTGTGATGTAGCCTTCACGTAATGATTCATCATGGCGGCTCCCTTTGAACTAGAGTGGAAGAACCCATTCAGAACCTTCCAGAGTACCTAGAGACTCAAAAATTGGTACAGATTTTCGGAAGAACCCGTTTTGCAAGTATACTAAATTTCAGGTTGCTAGCATTAGTGATTAAAAAGTTATAAGGGGTGGTACTTGGGCAACTCAACTTGAACCGACTATACACAGCCTAAAGACATCAATGTGTATCAGAAAATGTAATAAAAATTTGTGGTGATTTAGGAGCCATTTTTTGAAAAAAACCATGGGCTATAGCCTTGGGTATTTTTCAGATTTTGGCATATTTCTTAAAATGGCCATAACTCAAAATATTTGTCGGAATCAGCTCAAACTTTCTACACAGCATAAGGACATCAATGTGTATCAGAAAATGTAATAAAAATTTGGGGTGATTTCGGAGCCATTTTTTGAAAAAAACCATGGGATATCCTTAGATATTTTTCAGATTTTGGCATACCGTATAAGTGGTTTTTTTCAAGGGAATTATATTTCGCGAAATCTGCTAAAATTCCAATTCGCGGATTTTAATTTCGCGAATCCTACCACGTGTGCCATGCGGGTACCGTATTAACTTGATTTTCGCGGATTTTATTTTCGCAAATTAGGAGGGAATCCGTGAAATTCGCGAAATTTGCAACCCTCGAAAAAAACCACTTATACGGTATTTCTTAATATGGCCGTAACTCGAAAAATATTTGTCGAAATTAGTTCAAACTTGCTACACAGCCTAAAGATGTCAATATGTATCAGAAAATGTAATAAAAATTTGGGGTGATTTCGGAGTCATTTTTTGGAAAAAACCATGGGCTTGGGTAATTTTCAGATTTTGGCATATTTCTTAAAATGGCCATAACTTGAAAAATATTTGTCAGAATCAACTCAAACTTTCTACACAGTATAAGGACATCAATATGTATCAGAAAATGTAATAAAATTTTAGGGTTGCTATTACTCTCTCTCTCTCTCTCTTTTTCTTTTCAGTTTATTTCGTGTACTGAGTAGGAAGTATCTTAAATCCAAAGGAGAGCCAATACCAGCAATAACTGGAGCCCAACCCACCAGCCCAACCACACCTACTTCACCTACCACACCCACAGAACTGGTAAGCATAATAATAACAACAATAATAAATAATGATTTAATTAATGA